TTCCTGGAGAAGTTGGCATAACAACATACATCCCTGCATGCACAGAGATGTATCCCCCTCCTTGAAGTGAGCAAGTTCACATGATATCCACTATAGGGTCAGATTAATTATCATTTGGCTGCTGTACCATTTCCAGTCCTATATTATCTGCTGATGAGAAGTGGTTTGAGGGCATCTGCATGTAAAGAGTGGTCCCATCTTTGCTGTCTTTGTGGGATTCTTTTAAAATGATGATATTCACACCTCAGAACATTGCTTCTGTTCTTTTTCTTCATCGTGAGGGGGGCATAGCCATGCTATTCCAGTATGGGGCAAAATTTAAACCAGTTGTAGCGTATAGCACAAGAACTGGAATATTTGTGCCTGGTTTCTTTCTGTTTATAATTATGAAATGAGGCCATCACATGATTGCAATATGAGAAAAGCTATACAATTAATTGCATGCATTAACTTTTCCTTATTTATTCATGAATAATGCTTGTGCCATACCTTTGAATAGCGGCACAATTCTGTGCTGTACAGAGCATCAGAACGATAGCGTTCCTCGAAGAAAATCTGATCCGAGTTTAACATTATCCGATTATGTGTTAAACCACCACTCCTGTCTTTCCAGATGCTTCTGCTAGCAGCGTTTCTGATCATTTTGGACCGAGAAATCTTCTCTCGGTGCTGCCAGAGCGAAAGCTGCACCAAAACATACAGGGTGAGTTACTTCTTCTTGCATACAGGGAACTGATACTGAGAACCACACTGCCCTTCTGACCTTGTCTGTAGCTGGTTCCTTCCTTGCTTTTTGAGAGGGGAAAAAAAGAGATTATCTCAACAGCTAATCTTGGGGGGGGGGGACAGGATGAATTGCTACCCTTGCTGCCCAATAGACGGAAACTTTTTTTTCCCTTTTGCATGTGACATTATCAACAGGGATGCTCTGGGAACCTTGCCAGTTTCTTCCTGTCCTAACATCCTGTTCCTGCAGGATGGGCCTATTTCTGAACAGTAGTCTCAGGGAGTAAGCAACAAGACGGATGTACATAGTGCACATCGGGGTCCATTCCTGTGTTTCAACAAACAACTGCATGGCTCAGTCATAAACCCTGAGATCCTCATGTGTACCAGAGCAAGTTCCCTAATTCTCACATGATGATCCACATGATCTTTGCATGATCCTCATGAATACATATGAAGCCTTATATTGAAGCAGACCATTAATCTGTCAAGCTCAGTATTGTCTATCCAGACTGGCAAGAGCTCACCATGGCAGGGTCTTAGGCAGAAGGCTTTCACATCACCTGCTTGTTGATCTTTTCAACTGGAGATGCTGAGAACCTTCTTGGAGATGCTTGGGACCTTCTGCATCCACACCACTAAGGGCTCAACTAGATCAGAATGTTGCTGCCAATTTCAGGCTAGGATTGCCTTCTTTCAGAAATGGTGACCCAGATGGGCAAATACCCAGGCAGTTTTCCCCCAGCTCAGCAGGCTACAGAATGGCATGTGTGGGGCAGATGGGAGCCACTACAGCAGTGAAGATGAGGAGTGATGCTTGCTGGGCCCCCACTTCTACTGCCACCAGGGCTTCTGTCTCCGCTCTGCACTATTTTCAAGCTTCTTTAGCCAGGGGAAGATTGCCACGGTCTCTGCCCAGGTATAGCACCATTAGGTTGGCTTTCAGGATTGGGCCTCATTCCCAGGTTTAAAATGGTGGCAGCATCCCTGTGTTCACCACAGGGACACTGTCTCTACTAGTTGAGACCTGAGCTACAGCCCCTCCTCAGGGATTCCATGTCTCACAGTTAGAGCCAAATGATGTTGGAGTTTTGTGAACTCCCAATGTTTGGTCTAAAAATCACCCACAGTAACTGTGTGTGTGTGTGTGAGAGAGAGAGAGAGTGAGAGAGAGAGACCTAGAGTGGAGCTATGGCACTATGGAAAGAGGAGTTTAAATCCCCTTCCCCAAACCATTTCTACCTGGTCTCCACTGGGTTTCTTTAAGCCACTGTAGAGAAAAAAGAGGGATATTTTTGATCAGGAAAATCCTTCCCTTGTGCCATGGCCTTCATCTAGATATCTCCCCCCTCCCCTTCCAGCAGTTGCGATATATCACAGAATAGCATGGCAGTTCCAATAATGAAACTCTAATGTGCTGTATAGTTTGGCCTTGTGTTGACCGTTATATGAATTCTAATTATTGTCACTTGACATTCACTCTAATCAGTAGGAGAGCTTATTACTGTGATTGTTCTTTTATTCATACTTGGCCCTTTTATTTGTGAAGCCTTTTTGTTTGTTTGTTTTGGTGACAGACTAAAATTGTACCTGAGAAGCCTAGCTTGACAGATTCACTGCCAAATTATTTTATTTATTTATTTGTATTTACATTTCTATCCCGCCCTCCCTGCCATTTGGGGAGAATACCATGTCCCTGAGTCTGCCAGGGTTGCCAGCTCCGGGTTAGGAAATATCTAGAGATTTTGTGGGTGGAGCCTGAGGAGGTCGGGGTTTGGGGAGGGGAGGGGCTTCAGTGGGGTATTATGCCATAGAGTCCACCTTCCAAAGTGGCCATTTTCTCAGGTGAACTGAGAGAGCAGATCCTCATCCCCCCTGTGCCACTGTTCCCAGCAGGGCTCCCCCCCCCCAATGACATTTTGAAAAGCTAGAAAAAAAACCCTCTAAAATGGTGGCACATCTCTGTGGGAGACTTGAGGATGCAATGTGACTGGAACAGAATTCCCATCCCCTCATCGAGATAACTCTGTGTTCTCTCTTAAACACAGAGCGTCATTTCAGTGGTGCTTTCATTGCTGGGCATTGCCTTCTCTGGCTACAGCCTCATCATTTCTACCTTGGGCTTAGTGCAGGGCCCCTTCTGCAAAACCCCAGCTGGCTGGGAATATATTTTCAAAGACACTGCAGGAAGGTAAGAAGCATGACTAGCCCCTGAGGCAACTCTTGTTGGTGGTCAAATATTAAATGGGCATCCTCCTATCTTTACCTTTGGGTTTGACCAACTCTCTCTACTAACTCACTTGGCCCTGTGGTTTTTGGTGCTCACAACAGCTACCCCTGGACCCACACCGCTTCAGTAGCTGCCCCACTCAGCCAGTTTCCTTCCATTTCCAGACCCATTTCGGGCTGCATCCAAGTTCTTACCATGGCCAGCCCCGCTTAAATTCCAAGCTCTGACATGTTTAGGCTAGTCTGGGCTATTCAGGCAGCTAATGGACTGCAGCTGTCTATACTAGATATAATGGGCTCCTTGTCCATAGTCTAGTGTTTGCCACCTTTCCAGATACCTGGTCTTTCCTAGGCTTTCAGGTGTGTACTTGTTGCCTGCTGAACTGAGCAGAGGATTACAGTACAAATGGGAAAATCTCCCATCTGAGGTTAAGGTATTGTGCTTCACCCTTGAAAACAGGGGGCCTTTTTGTCTGTCTGTCTGTCTGTTGAATTGATCTCTGTATCCTGGAGATCAGTTGTAATTCCAGGAGGTCTTCTGGTCCCACCTGGAGGTTGGCAACTTTACATTTTATCACACTCTATCGCCAAGGAGCTCAGAATGATATAGATAGCTCTTGTCCCCTACATTTTATCCTTTTATCAGCCTTGTAAGGTAGGTTAGGCTGAGAGATAGATAGTGACTGGTCCAAGGTTACCCAGTGAGCTTGGTGGTTTAGAGGGGATCTGAACCCAAGATCTAATTTAGTGCTTCCACATGCTTTTCAAAATGCTCCTGATTGCTTTCCCCCGCTGTGGATGGAAAGGGCTAGATTTCAAGTGAAAAAGTATCTAGAAAGGGAAAGGTTCAGTCTCCAGTTTCCCCATGGGCCTCTGCTGAATCTTGCAGTTTCAGAAGCTGCTTCCTGAATCAAAAATAAAAATAGAAAAGGCAGAGTTCCAGGATTAGGGCTAGCATGTCTAATCCCATTGAACCTCTAAAATCAGGAGAGAGGGGAGGGAAGGATGCCATACAAATGCTTTCTTTAGGTGCTGAAACATTTTTACCCAACTTGTGTCCCACAGTGGTGACAGAGCTGCTTATATATACCAAAATATACAAAGCAAAGCCACAACTTAAACAGAGGCACATTAACGGGCACAGAAGACACTCTCTTCCAGCAGATGGTAGAATATAAAGTTCCCCCTAGCTGACAGTTAGCTCTGGCAGTATGGCTCGCCCAGGGTCGCAGCCTGAGGGCCAAGCGCTCTTTGGCCTTTTCTCTTTGGTTCATGCCCAAGGCTTTCACCTGGGATAAATTACCATACCTGCTTTGTTTGGTTTGGGGGTTGGGTTGAAAAGCAACCCCATCCCCTGTGGCAATGACTTTGGAGAAAGGATGGGAAGACAGGGAGCAGGGTGGAAAATCTGAATGGGAAATTGGGTTGCATGAAGGATTGGAGCTCTGTTACCTATCAAACCTGATAGACCTTTAGCTGCTTTACTTCTAATTTCTTTATGCTTTTGTTCCTCCGATAGCTACCTCATGGATCGCGCTGCCTGGTCTGAATGCCCAGAACCAGCTCATGTAGTAGAGTGGAACGTCATTTTGTTTTCTGTTCTGATAGCTCTTAGTGGCCTTCAGATGCTGATTTGTTTTCTGAAGGTGATCGCAGAGTTAAAGAGGATACTGTGCGGAACTTACCCTGTCTTTATTCAGGTAACAGCTACATTCTTATTTGAAAAAAACACTTGTACAAGGCTGCGGTGGCTCAAGTGGTTAAGACGCTGAACTGCAGGCTGTGGAAGGTCAGTAGTTCAGCAGTTCAAGACCCAGGGTGCCGCATGATGGAGTGAGCTCCCATCTCTAGTTCCAGCTCCAGCCAACCTAGCAGTTCGAAAGCAAGAAATTGCAAGTAGATAAATAGGTACAACTTCAGTGGGAAGGTAACAGCATTCCGTGCGCTTTGGTGTTTAGTCATGCCGGCCACATGACCACGGAAACGTCTTTGGACAGCGCTGGCTCTTTGGCTTGGAAATGGAGATGAGCACCGCAACCCTAGAGTCGGATTCGACTGGCTTTCGAGCAAGGGAACCTTTACCTTTACCTTTTTACAAGGCTTAGCCCTCTGTCCTCCATTGTTCTCCTTCCCACATAATAATTTCTGAATGCTGTCCCCCATTCACCTGCCCACATAATGAGTGCTATTCTGCATAGATGCAACCATCAAAGGATCTGTGAGAGGTCTCCTCAATTCTCTCCATGTCCATGCTGTAATATTAGGAGGTTTATCTATATACTAATAGCCAAGTTGCCCCCGTGAGAGCGGATCGCTAAATCCGTGCTCCGGGGGCACTTGAGGGGGAGGGGGAGGTTTGTGCACAAGTAGGGCGGTCCCCACGTGTGCACAAAAATCCAAAAAGTTGAAAAAAATTTCGGGGGGATGTTTAATCCCCCCGAAAGTGACAGAGCGTCCCCTGCGCATGCGCAGGGAACGCTCTGTAGCTGGCCTCGCCGCCGCCTCCTCCTCGGAGCCGGGCGGGCGGGGGGGAGGACCGGCCTCGCTGCCGCCGCCGCCTCGGGATATCGAGGGGGGGGATGGAGGAGACGGAGCTCTTCTCCCCCCCCCACGAGTATCGCGGGTACCCGTCTTGTAAATACCCTATTCCTTACTGTTTTAAGTCTACCGGGCAGAGGGGGGAACCAGACTCACCTCCGTCGCCTCCGCCGCCTCGGAGCTGGGCGGGGGGGAGGACCGGCCTCGCCGCCGCCGCCGCCGCGAGCATAGCGGGTCCCCCTCTTGTGATTACTATTAGCAGTGTTCCCCATATTCCCCTAAAATTGCAAAACCTGGGAATGGATCCTGCTCAGCTGCAGTGGTGCAAACATTTGGATTTATTGCATTTAAGTGCCAGATCCAAGAACTTATGATCGATTCATGAATCTCAGCTCCTCTATGTTAAAAGTAAAAGTCTCTGGTCTTTTTCTCTTATTTTCTACAGCCTGGGGTGATCTGACAGTCATGAGAAAAGACTCACCAAGTCCTGCCAAGACACCACCATACCTCTCATCATAATTGCTGTTCTTTTTGTAAAGAAACAAAAGGGCTTCTGATTCTATTTCACATCGACTTAGTTCTTCGAGTTATACAGAAAGTAATGTCCGTGTTTTGCAACTCACAATGCTCCACACCATTTTAAGCAAGTGCAGTTTTTTTGCATTATCTGTGGGGGTGGTTGGCTCCCTGTTTCTGTCCTTTCCCTTTCCTTCTGATTCTTGTCTATTTAAATGTTGCACCACGAGAGCAAGGATCTCTAGGACTGGTATATTAAAATGCACGTAGGGCACAGATAGGCAACCCAGAATGTGTGCTGAATGGTGGCAGGCCCGCCCATTTTAGACAACATGACAGTTCTCTTGCTGAACCCCCCAAAATGGGGTGTTGTCGAGTTCAGCAGGGCTGCAGAAGGTAGGATTAGCTCTCCCAGGAGCTTCTGGGAGTTGGATCTGGGGAGGAAGGAGCTTCCAGATGATTGACCAGAAGTGATGTCACTGCCCCTGCTCTGGAAAACTGCCCAATCTCTATAGTAAAGGCCATAGAGATTGTAGGAAATCCCTAGAGCATCACTGATGCTGTGATGTCACTTCTGTGTGATCCCCTGGAAGTGACATCACAGCGTCTGTGACTTCTTACCTCAGTTACAAAATTGATCGAGCATGGGTAAGGAGGGCAGAGTGAGACTTTTTGTGGATCTGGAGTGGTGATTTATGGTCCTACATCCCTCCAACTGCAAGCAGCTCCATCCCAAGGATTGGTGCTGTACTGTACAGGTGTGCAGTGTTGCTTCTCAGGGTGCTCAGGTGTGAGACAGATGTAAGAGGCCACCAGCTGCATGGATAGAAGCCATGACAAGCAGTGTTCCCCATCAAGTGAAACTATTTCTAGAGTTACCAACCTGGAGTTCTCCCAGAATTACAGCTGAACTCCACACTATAGTTCTCCTGGAGGAAATGGCAACTTCAGGCAGACTCTGTGGAATCAGACCCCCCCTGAGCTTTCTCCCATTCCCAACTCTACCTTCCCCAGGAACCACCCATAAATCTTCAGGAATTTTCCAGACTGAAGTTGGCAACTCTAGCGCAGTGGCTGGCATTCATACCCCCTCTCCCCTTTGTTTGCCAACACACCAATATCTGCATTTGGTGCCCAGATGAAAAAGGTTATATCTTAGGTGCACAACACTAATAAACGTTTGATTTTTAACACTAATAAACGTTTGACTTGTTGTGAATGGTTGCGCTGTTAAGTCTGCATGTGCAGTATTGCATAGGCACATCTTAAAAATCCATTGCCTGAAGCAGTCCTGAGCATGAGCAAAAATCCATCCAGTTTGGATAAATTGAAAAGCTGAAAAAAGAATTGAGAGGATATAAGTACACGGAGTACAAGGATCTGCCAAAACCAGGCAGCTCTGACAATTGTGGGGAGATACCCTTGCTTTTCAGGTTGATCTTTATAATCTGGTATACATTTCAACAGGATACATGAGTAATGATCCCATTGGCCCATAGTCCAATAAGGCTTCAGAAGTGTGCATATGAAATTTAAATGGCTTATGGTTACTTTCTGGGAGAGATCCCACTGAAATAAATTATTGTCCAGGATTGCTGAAGATAACATTTTATGTAATCGATCACATTTGCTCCTCTGTGAGATCTCTGAATCAAACTTATCACTCAGTTGGTGAAAAGCTACTCCAGATTCATTGATATCAAGATCTTTTGTATTCCTGTTGCTGTTATAAAGGTTATCAGCATAATCATCCCTGACTCCTACACTACCAACACGAGTGCGAGTTTTGAAGTCACCACCTTCTAATGTTATAAGTACCCTGGAATATTTAACCTCAGTTTTGTGAACACAGATCACTAAATCCAATCAACAATGTTCATAACAATAAAAAACTAGGAGTAAGGGGGAATATAAACATTGACAAATCAGGAGACGGCCTTCTCAGTTGTGGAGCAAACACTCTGGAACTCTCTCCTCACAGAGATTGTCCTCCTGTGCTGCCATCTTTCATCAGAGGGTGAAGACTTTTTAAAATTTCATTTGGCATTGCGTCAATGATCCCTGCCTCCTACTCAACATTTTAATTGTTGTTTTTTATGCTGTTGCATGTATTTTAGCCCTGGTTTTAATTGTTTTAATGACGCATTGGGGGGTTATTGCGTTTAATGGTTTTAAAATGTTATTTTATTAGGTATGATAATAAGGTTAGCTGCCTTGGTGTTTTTATACCTCCCTTTCTTGGTTTTTTTAAACCTCCTTTATAATTGTTTTAATGATGCATTGGGGGTTTATTGCGTTTAATGGTTTTAAAATGTTATTTTATTAGGTATGATAATAAGGTTAGTTGCCTTGGTGGCCCTTGTGAGGGCAGAAAGGCAAGCTTGAAATTTTATAAAATAAAATAATAAATAATAACCCAGAATTGTGTATTTACTTAATGTGAAGAGGCAAGCCGTTGCTGAAGACTTTGAGGCTGGTACTACAGTATACTTTGCTGAAGTAGGTATCGAGCATAGGAGAGGAATCGACTTAGATCTAAAGTTAACCAAGTCTCCTGAATGAAAACTATATCATAGGATCAGATAAACTCTAGAAACATTTCATCCTGAGCTTTATTTTGACCTTCTCGACACATTTCAAGAGACATATTTTAAATGATTTTCATCTGGGCCTCTAGCAGTGCAATCTTATACAGACTTATTCCAGTCTAAATTCATAGATTTCAATAGGGTTAGAGAGCAACTCTGCATAGGACTGCATTGTAAATGTCAATCTATTGCTGAGTAATATTTTGTAAGGTACCATACCCTGACCTGCATGGCCCAGATTTCAGAAGCTAAGCAGGGTAAGACCTGGTTAGGTCTAGGATGGGAGATCACCATGGAAGTCTAGGGTTGCTATTCAGAGACAGGTAGTGGCAAACCACCTCTCAGTGTCTCTTGCCTTGAAAACCCTATGGGGTTGCCATACGTCACCTACAACTTGATGGCCAAAAAAGGTACCATAGTGAATTGCCCTGTTACCCCTTATCTTATCAAGAGTATGAGAACCAGTAGTTGTTATGGGGTTATTGAAAGAACATTCATGAGCCAACTGTGACTCAAAGTTTACTGGACAATCTGACATAACCACTTTAGGAATGTGATGGACTTCTCCACGAATCACCATTTTTAGTTTTCCTACCATTAATTTAGCTAGTGATGGGGGCATTATCAGGTATAAAACTACCAGAGCCAGAATGGCAGGATAGATTTAAGATCTACTGTTAGAGAATGAACTTTATGAACTTATATCTATTGCTACACACAATGGACTGTGCACACACACACATAGGCTCAAAGAACTGTACACTTTAAGTCACCTGTTGTGATGCAACACATAGAAGGTACTTGCACAAGCCTTACACGTGAATAAGGTTTCAGTTACACAGTTACCAGCCTGGTGAAGAAGCACACACCTCCATTATTGTGAGCAGTAAGAAACAACAGCTTTGAAAAGAGACAGCCCCCATTGCAGATCTAGTTGTGATCACATACAACACATCCATGCTTTGTTCCTGCATTGGTATTTCCTGCCAAATGGACATTTGGTTTACAATGGCATGGCCAGCTTTCATCAATACTTCAACGAAGCATCCTGACGCCAAGGTTTTCACACCTGCGCAGATGTCCTTCTTTGAGTAAGGTATTAGATTTCAATATTGGCCACCCCTCTAGGTAACCTCCCACTCCTATAGGCAACCAATAGGATTAGTTTTGGGACGGGCTAACAGGTAGGTGGGTCCACAGGTTGGAACAGTTACCTCCCACCTAATGGATCCCCTATAAAAGGTAAGGACCGTTCACCTGGCCCTTCCTAGCTAGCAACCCCCGCAACAATCCCTGTCTGCTTTTTACTCCTCTTAAGTCCCACTTGCTATCCCCAAACCCTTGCCTCTACTTTGATCTCTTGATCTGCAGTCAAGATACCCACACGTTCTGGCTGGTTCTAGTTGTGTGTGAATTTTCTGTTTCTTCCCATCCATTCTTCATTGGAACAACCAAGCTGTGAAGACAGATAAGTATCACCCATCATCACCCCCACCTGCTAATGCAAATGTGCTTATTTTAATACTGTATTTCTAAGGAACTTGATTGAATGTGTGAGTGCATCAGTATTGTTTGTATGAGATTTATATTCTTTAAGTAAAAGACATTTATTTTAACAACACCAGCCTCGACTCTTTCTCTGGTAATGGTGGGAACAGGATCTTGGTATAAACTGGCAAGTACCCATTTATAAATTGCCAATTGCTGTAAATAAAGCAATTCGGCTAACACTACAATTTGGGGCATATTGAATTGAGACAGTATGGTACTAGTGGTCGGAGACAGTATAGGATTGGAGGTCAGATCAATCATATCAGGAGGGGAAACAAAGTTTACAGTCATTTCGTTTGTTTCACCCTTAGAGAGCCAGTGGGAAATAGGGTTAGAGTGTTGGACTAGCTTGCTAGCTAACCAGCCTAACAGGGTTGTTGTGAGGATAAAACGGAAAGGAAGAGAACAACGTAATCCACTTTGGGTCCCTATTCAGGAGAAAGGGAGGTATAAAAAATAAATAATATTTAGAACAACAGACCCTGATCAAGTGTAGCCAATTCCCCTCCCCCGCCAACGATCCTCGCTGCAAACTCCACAGGAATGCTGTCATAGGGTGTGCAATGTGCATGAATTATAACTGCATACCATTGTGCAGTTCCACATTTTCATTTTAAAAGCCCTGGCTGTGCCTACCAAAATTCTGTCTTGTACAACACTATCAAAGACACAGATGAGTCCTGACCATTTGCTTTTGCACCTGCTTTCTCTCTCATGAACCTCCTATTAAGGTGAAGTCTTCTTGATATTCAGCTGTAACTGGGGTTGCCAACATTCAGGTGGCACCTGGATATCTCCTGCTCTTACAGTTGATTTCAAGAGGACCAAGATTGGTTCCTCTGGAGAAAATGGCTGCTTTGGAGGGTGGACTCTTTAGCGTTATACTCTGTG